AACCCTAAACCCCAAACCCTAACCCTAAACCCTAAAAGCTGCCAGGCGACGTCGGTGCAGTTCGCGGAGGCAAACCGTGCGCGAGTGGGCCGCATCCTCAGCAAGGCCCACCCTACCGGGTCTCCGTTGAAGGGATCCTGGGCTAGGGTTGCGGGTGTAGGGTTGGTTTAGGGTTTAGGGTTTGAGGTTTAGGGTTTAGGGTTCTCCCATCCTGTTCAGAGCCCAAATTCGTATATTTTCTAGCCCTTTTTCCAACCTTAATATTACTATTGTTCACTCCTTAATACTACTCTTTAAGGCCCTTATTATGCTAAAGGAGAACACAATATTAATACAATGGCCCGTACAATTAGTATCATGTGGACGCACCATCTGTGTTCTTGGCCGTTCAGTTCTTGCATAACATACGCTCCTTATAATATAGAAAGAGAACGTAACCTGTAAAGAAGCATGTGAACAAGAAAGAAGATGTGAACGCGGAGAAAATATTAATAATACTGTAAGTCTCCCCACCCGAACTGGCCCCGTCCGAGATAAGGCCCAAACGTACCCTAAATCCTAAACCCAAAACCCCGAATCCTAACGCAAAACCCTAAGCCCAAAATCCCAAACCCTAAACCCAAAACAAGCAAACACGAAACCTAAGCCCAAAAAAAATCCGAGCCACTGTGGGTGCCTAATATAGGGCCTCAAAAGTTAGAATTTGGCTTTGGGGGGGTTATTCTAGTATAATTATAAAGAACCACAAGGGAATACTATCAGTGATTATTCCGACCCCTATAGTATGGCCCATGTTTGGAGGTTCATGGTACTTATTAACTAATTGTAACTGTACTTATAACCGGGCTTAGGGTTTAGGGTTTAGGGTTTGGGGTTTGGGGTTTGGGGTTTGGGGTTTGGGGTTTAGGGTGTAGGGTTTAGGGTTACTGTACTTATAACTGTACTTATAACCATATTAGGGCACTGAAGGGGCTTACAAGTGGGTTATAAGTACAGTTATAGTTCATGAGTACCATGAACCCATACGCCAGAAACTCCTAAGCACCATCCTTAGCTTGCGCTTGGTTTGGGGCTTGGGGGGGTTTAGGGTTTGGGGTTTAGGGGTTTAGGGTTCAGGGTTTCAGGACTCTGGGTTCGAGATTCAGAAGATTGGGCCGAGGTACATCTGATGTTTCTGACACTCCGGAGTAAAAAAAAAGCCCGAAGCCATGTCTCTTCGGGTCTAGGGTCTAGGGCTTTTTCGTGGAGGTTCATGGTACTTTTTAACCAATGGTAACTGTACTTATAACTGTATTGTAACCATACTAGGGCACTTAAGGGGCTTGTAAGTGTGCAATAGGTACAGTTATACTTGGTAAATAAAGTACCATGAACCTCCAAGTAGGGTTTCGGGTTTAGGCACACCCCCAACGGAAACAAAACATTTTGCTGCGGATAGAATACCTTTTTCACTCCGGCACAGACAACAGAAGATTAGATGGGGACAGCACGTCCCGCGACGGAAGACTCTACGATCCTCAGTCCTAAACCCTGAAGCCTAATAAGACTAAACCCTCAAACCCCCTGAGCACATGACCTTCAAAGACAAGTTCCTATATAACTCTAGTACTATCCTTCCTTTCATAACAAACCAGATCCGTCCCTTAACAGAACACTTGTCCGCACATTGGCTCTCAGAAATCGTCATGCGGTGACATTGCTCGCGATTGGACGCGATGCATGAGCGCGCGACTTCTGGGCTCACATGCACACCTTCTTAGCGCTAGGGTTGCGGCAACTGCCGTTCTACAAAACACGGCAGGCAAAACGCAAAGAGCTGAACCTGCTGGCGGCTGCCAGCTGGCATGCGGAGGCAGGGAGACTCCAGCTGGGTGCCATGCCCCTCAATCTACGCGGATCTGCATCTTGGGTATTGGCCGTCTTTCTCCATCGCGAAGATCCCACACCATGTTAGGGGAAGAAAGATGACTCATCCGGACCAATATATGGAAAGGTGCACTAAACCCTAAACCCTATAAACCCTAAACCCTAAACCGATTGAGGGTGGCGGGGGGCCTCTGTGGGGGTGCCTTGTCTCCTTAGGGGCATGGCCCCAGCTGGGGCTTCTGGTTCCTGCATGGCGTTGGAAAAAATTGACCCGAAATCCGAAGCCCTAAACCCTAAACCCGAAACCCTAAACCCTAAACCCGAGACCCGAAGCCCTAAACGTGGACCCTACAGCCCTAAACCCTGAACCACGAGCTCAGGGCCTGAAGCACCCCGTGGCGCTTGGTCGTGGCCCTGGAACAAGGTTCCCGGCAGGTGCCCTTTATACCTTTTAAACGAGGATTATTCCCTGAATCATATTAAGGATCCCTCTATGGTTTGGGGTATAGGGGCTCCCTGGGAAATACCTTGAAGGACCGCAACCAGGTTGCTCTCATTATGCGCCAGCACGTCGCCTGAGTCTGTAGTTTAGCTAAACCCCAAACCCTAAACCCCAAAAGTCTCTCGGCCCCGGGCCGCAGCTTCATGCTTCAACGACTCAGGGTTTTTGGGGGTTTAGGGTTTAGGGTTTGGGGTCTAGGGTTTAGGGTTCAGGGTTTAGGGTTTAGGGTTTAGGGCTTAGGGTTTAGGGTTTAGGGTTGGGAGTTGCGATGTCGCAGGAATCAAGCAACCTGGCTGTTAACACTGTACATACTGTTTGCTGAGGTGGCCGCGGTAGGATTCAGCCCCGGTGACAATGTGTCCCCTAAACCCCCTATGTATATCCCTAAACCCTAAACCCCAAACCCTACACCTGTACTCCAGATCCTTGCCCTGAAATTCCAAGACCACAAAAACCCTGAGACCTTTGAACGCAGTGTAGCTCCCTAAACCCGCCCGCCCCCCCTCTAAGCTCTATTGAAGTAGGCGGGCGCGGTCGAGCGCTCAGCGAGACGACGGCAGGCTCTGCTGGGCTGCAGAGCCTCCGCCAGGCACAGCCCTGGGCCCTGAGGGGTCGCCGAGCTAAAGTCGCCCAGCAGAGTCATCTCCCTCGCCTTCTGGGGCAGGCCCGGGCCTTTAAACAGGATACACCCGCCCGCCCGATCCCAATTCAATTCGGAGGGGGAGCCTGGCCCCCCCCCCCAGCCGAAGCCAGAGGGGGCCCGGGCCTTTAAACAGGATACCCCCCCCCCATCCGAAGTCCATTTGGGTGGTTCAAGTGACCCTCAACCTGCAACTCATCCACGCCTGAGCTTTCCATAAGAGGGCCCTTCGGCCCAGACCGTCCCCTTCGCAAAAACCTGAAGGGGAATCCTTTGGCAACCTTTTCATGCCTGAGTTTTCTATGAGAAGGCCCTTCGGCCCAGAACGTCCCCTTCGCAGCAACCTGAAGGGGTGTCCTTTGTCTTGTGGCCTCAAGTAACCCAAGCTGCAGGCCCAGACCGTCCCCTTCGCAATAATGTGAAGGGGTATGCTTTGCCTTATGGCATATGGCCCCAAGTGACCCTCAAACTGCAACCTATCCACGCTTGAGTTTTCTCTGAGAGGGCCCTTCGGCCCAGACCGTTTCCTTCGCAACCTGAAGGGGTGTCCTCTGCCTTCTGGCCCCAAGTGCCCCACAACTTGCAACCTATTCACGCCTGAGCTTTCTATGAGAGGGTCCTTCGGCCCAGACCGTCCCCTTTCTGTGAGTTATGCTTGGTTGGCTTGGTTTGGGCTGGCTCCGGTTCGGTTTCGCAGTGAGTTGTGATTGGGCATGTCTTCACACTATTGCGTTCAGCTGACCCAAGCTACACCCTAAGCCCTAAACCCGAAACCCTAAAGCCTAAAGCCAGCCTAAAGCCAGCCTAAAGCCTAAAGCCTAAAGCCTAAAGCCTAAAGCCTAAAGCCTAAAGCCTAAAGCCTAAAGCCTAAAGCCTAAAGCCTAAACCCCTCCTCCCCTCCCAAGAACTTCCTCGAGTAAGGTTCCGATAGCCGCAATAAGGACCGGCTCCCTGATTGGTTTTAGAGTTTAGGGCTTAGGGTTTAGGGTTTAGGGTTCAGACTACAGGGTTTACGTAGGTTGTTAACCCTGAGGCCTAAACCCGAAACCCCAAAACCCTGAAGCTAAACCCCAAAAACCGATGACCTTCGTAAGACCATCGGCTGACTCCAGTGCCATCCTTCACAGCGCGGCAGAACTTCTGCAAGATTGAATCGGAGCTTGGCCCACTCGGGAATTGCGCAAGGAAGACAGGGCAATATCGAAATTAGGTCTGCTGTTGACTCTTCCACCAACCGTGCACACTGGTGGTCGGCGCCGCATCAAGCCCAAACCGACCTAACTCTAAAACCCGAAACCCGAAACCCGAAACCCGAAACCCTAAACCCTAAACCCTAAACCCTAAACCCTAAACCCTAAACCCTAAACCCTAAACCCTAAACCCTAAACCCTGACCCTCGCGCCCCAAGGGAAGCGCCGGTCTTGTCGAAATCGAGTTCTGCGAAACCGTCGGGCTGCGGTATGGGTCGCGATTCGATGCGATTCCTTTGCACGCGACTTCGTGGCTCCCATGCACGCTCCCTTTTTTCAGGGTCAGGGGTCTGGGGTCTAGGGTCTAGGGTTTAGGGTTGAGGGTTTAGAGTTTAGGTTTTAGGGTTTAGGGTAGATAAATTTAAGACGGAAGCCCAAACGACCCAAAGAGCCCAGCCCTCGGCAAGCTAGCATCGCGCATGCAAAAAAAAAACTTGAAGAAAGGGCGCTTGCAGTTGCCTCAAGCTTAGTGCCATGCCCCTCATATGGTCACTTCTCTAAATTATGGCCAGATACTGTTATAGGGTGGCCCTTATAGGGTACACCTAGGGGAACCATCATTTTGACGGTTAGGGGGTGCGTAGGGCGGTGAAAGTTAGGAGCATGGCCTCAGCCAGGGCTTCTGCCCCCTGTAGAAGAAGATTGATTGCTTGCGTCGGTCCGTGCAGTTCACATGAAACTCCACGAGAGACGAGCACAACGAACGACCGCAATCAGTGAATCAGGTCACTGTCGCTGCTCGTCAGTAAGTCCGGCTGCGCACCGCCTCACCCAAGTCCCAAGCCCCCTGGT